AGAAACAGTTTGTATCAGGATGGTGTCACCCTTGATAAAGTTAAGTGCATTTCTAAGAGAAATTCCGGGATGTTATTTTAAGGAGCTTCATCTTCGGTGTTTAGTCAAGCATAGATAGGAATAGAAATTGGGATTCTTTAAATTGTGAATTGTAGGTAAAGTGGTACATTCATAATTGACACTGAATGCTCTGTGAAACATTGAACGATTTAAATGCCTGCGACAATACTGGTCTTCACTGTCTCTAAAATTAGATAACAGGCAAAGGTGCTAGAGAAAAATGTCACTAAAGCGACGTTGAAATTAGGCTAATGTGGGAAACTAGGACTGTTCGCGATGAAAAGCGTGCGAAAGGAAAGTTCGTTGACGAGAGGTTTCGTAAACACGAGGCTAATATCGTTCGGTTTTCCATCTACCTGCGAAGTTCCATCGAAATCGGCAACATTTCACGCGAGTCCTTAGCAAAGTCTTAAATTAAACGAAACTGCGTTCACTGCTACTTTCTAGAAAGTTTGACACTTTGCACCTTCCTACTCGGACTAGAATAGCTCTTTCAGATGCAAGGCAAAGCAAGATTTATACGATGCATCGTAAGAGAATAATATTAATCGATATCCATTAGCCGACTAACTGAATTTTATATCAATAAATACGATATTTACTGAGATAATAAACAGAAAGGTAATATGCTTGTACGAATATTGTACCATTTTATGGTCAATTACTTGCACAAAGTTAACGATACAAATAGACAGATGAATAAAGAAATTTCCAATAAATTGTATCGATATAACGAATTAAATTTTCGATACTTTTAATCGAAAAGCTCTCCTAACCACCACCATGTTTGACATAACCTCGCTAAGCTCTACGAGCCATTTTCGTTGCGACCAACCTCTTCGTTTCTAACTTTGATGAGTTAGCATAAAACTGAAACGAGAAAACATGCGTACTTAGAACAACCTGTTTACATCTTTCGGGAAATAAAATTTTCTTCGCAATGGAAGCACGATTGGGTCGAAAAGGGCCCAACTACCTCAGCAAAGTTCAAAAGGAAAACATCGTCGGGTTGAATAGTTTAAGAAGGCACGTTGTTCAGTTCGTTGATTAACGAAATAGAATTAACAACGACAAAAGGAGGACGTTAAAAAAGAAGAACATTTTTGACATCGCCTAGAAATGAAAAATTTCTGAGGGAACTTTAAAAGCATATTCTAAGTAACAAAAAATTTCTTTATCACTTTGTCGAGAAACGATGGGAAAATTAACAAAAATGAGTGGAAATATGTGAAAATGAGACTGATTAAATACAGGATGTACTGGCAACAACGGTAGTACAAAATTGGGGGAGGGGAGGGGGATTCTACGTGAAAAAGCAAATCGAAAATAAAGAATAAAATTTTTTCGTTCGAAGCTTCATTGTCGAGAAAATCGACTTTAAATATCCACCGAATACGCGCGCACTTAGCGTCGGTTTCTATGGATAGGCTATTAATACGAGAGTATGAGTGGCACAATCGTGGAGGGGGTGATTCTACGTGAAAAAACAAATCGGAAATGAAGAATAACATTTTTTCGTTCGAAGCTTTGTTGTCGAGAAAATCGACTTTGAATATCCACCAAATACGCGCGCACTTAGCGTCGGTTTCTATGGATAGGCTATTAATACGAGAGTATGAGTGGCACAATCGTGGAGGGGGTGATTCTACGTGAAAAAAGAAATCGGAAATAAAGAATAAAATTTTTTCGTTCGAAGCTTCGTTGTCGAGAAAATCGTCTAAAAAGGTTAACCGAGTACGCATGCACTTAGCTATGGCTGAGATGTATGGACCATTAATATATTAATATAGGTGGTACAATCGTAGAGAGGGTGATTCTACGTGAAAAAACAAATCGAAAATAAAGAATAAAATTTTTTCGTTCGAAGCTTCGTTGTCGAGAAAATCGTCTAAAAAGGTTAACCGAGTACGCATGCACTTAGCTATGGCTGAGATGTATGGATCATCAATACATTAATATAGGTGGTACAATCGTGGAGAGGGTGATTCTACGTGAAAAAACAAATCGAAAATAAAGAATAAAATTTTTGCATTCCAAGCTTCGTTGTCGAGAAAATCGACTTTGAATTTCCACCGGGTATGCTGGTATGACGATGGTCTATCCGCCATAGCGAAAGTCAAGTGCACGCGTACCCAATTACATTCAAAGTCGATTTTCTCGGCAACGAAGCTTCGAACGAAAAAATTTTATTCTTTATTTTCGATTTCTTTTTTCACGTAGCATCACCCCCTACTCGAATATACCACCGATATTAATGTATTGATGGTTTATTCATATAAGCCATAGCTAAGTACACGTGCACTCGGTGAATATTCAAAGTCGATTTTCTCGAAAACGAAGCTTCGAATAAAAAAATTTTATTCCTTATTTTCGATTTGTTTTTTTACGTGGAATCACCACCATCCAAATTGTACCACCGTTACTGGGACACCCTGTCTCATTTTCACATATTTCGACTTATTTTTGACAATTTTCTCATGGTTTCTCGGCAAAGGGAGTACAGAAATTTTGTGCTCCTTGGAAGACGCTTTTAAAAGTCCTGAAGGAACTTCTTTCATTTCCAGACAATGCCAAAAATGGCCCTTTCTTAACATCCTCCTTTACAATTTCATTTGCAAACGCAAAGATGATCTCTCGACTAATCATCCGATCTGAAAATTCAGCATCATTGTGATCCTCGTATCTTGAGCTGCAAAAGAAATGCATTTAAACTGGGACACATTTACGTCGGTCCAAATTCAATCTGTCGTTAGGCACGGATTGAAAGAAGAATTTTTAAATATCACGATTGAAATAATTTCAAATAATTCTGGGAAGAGGAATATTAATTTAAGTAGGTCTGGTACAGATGTCATTACCGCAAATACATAACGTCTCAGTTCTAAAATTAGAATCGTTCTTCTGAATTTCCCAAATATGCGACCAACCAATCGATTCGGACAGTGTATTTCAAGAGTACGGTTAAATGCTTCTCCAATCTGCAAGGTTTAGATTGTTCATTTTATAGACACAGGTGCTAACCTAACCACATAAGGCGTTTAAAACGGGACGAGACCAAGACTTTTAAGGTTTACCGTGATCACAAATCCGTGAAAAATATTTAATTAACATAGACTTAACGCAGAATTATTATTAAATATTCAAATACACGATAATTATTGAATACACCATAATTGATATTTTTTGTGTGCAACCTTCTAGCCTCGTACCTGTAAAAATATATTCCGAGGCCAATTTGTTATTGCCTGTGGCAAATAATACAATTGAATTACAATAATGAATGGAAAATATGAGAAGAAAAAAGAAAAATGAAAAAGAAAAGTACAGCTTTGATTTTGACTTTAATATTCGTCAACCTAGTTCCTGCAATGATCCCTATTCAAGGAACCTGGATATTAAAAAATTACTATAAATTTTGTAATATCGATCCGGATCGCCAAATGGAGACTTTTCTTTACAAATATTGCGTATATTAAAATTAAAAGAAATTCAATCGGAGAGAAATGATCGCAGTCGGTAAGTTAGAAATTTTCCTTTTTTTATTCCTTTCAATGAGTTCCACCGGCTTATAAAAGTTAAAATCCTTAATTTCCAGTACCATATATGTAATTACTATCTTACACGTCATAGTGAAGCTTGCTGCAGTTTTATACCAGAAATTTTTCTTTAAATTAACCAATGATCAATAGCGAAATCGCCGTTATCGATTGAACGTATTATAAAGCGCAGCCGAGATGAATTGACACATACTATACGTTCGATTCATCGCTGTCCGCGTTTCAGAAAACGTTTGGATTCAATTTCATCTCGAATGGGATTTTATTCTGTTCGAAATTAAACAATAACGTTTATGAAAGCGAGATAAATCGCGTGATTTGAAGGATACAGACGAAGTGAAATGAATTGTTTTTAATTATTGTCAAGTATAGACATGTGGTTGAAAATCGATATACATCGAACAATTAGTCGATATAAAAAGACGGGCACGTAAACGAAAGGACCGGTTGTATGTATATATATCGAACATCGGGAATTGTCGCATATAGTTCGTTAATACTTTGCGTTGTTACGTAATGTATTTTACGAAATATCGACGTGAAAATATTATTCATAATATTTGATGAAATTCTGTCACAAAAACGTATACTATATATCCGCATAACGGGTTATCGTAGAATCAAAAATATTTCGGTAATCGCTTTCAAATTAGCAATTATAATTTGAAAAATTAAGATTTTTTAGAAACTCGCATAAGGTAATTATATCAAAGAATAGTTCGAAACGTTGTAAAGATTAATAAGTGGAATGATATTAGATTAAGTCTAAGCGTATCGAGATAAAAATCTAGTCAATAGATTTTCTACATTGAGGGATAATTCATTTACAAATATGAATATTTGATAATCGATCTTTTCGTAACAAAATATTATCATAGATCATAAATATACAAATAGCTAGAGGAATCTGTGACTTATAATGTACGTTTGATAGCGTCGTAAAATATTACTTTATTCTTCCGACTTTAATCGCATCCAAGTTTTCAACGCTTGTAAGTACAATCTGATTTATATCTAGAATATTTTGTTATCGCAAAGCGTGACTAATGCTGTCATAAGCGGAATCCAATACGTAATCCGCGTATCTGACTCAAGTATTAATCTTTTAAATGTATAGTTCATTGGATGCAGTTTCATACACGTATTGCAACACCAATCGGGGCTAGTCAATGAATTCGCCATAACAGTTTTGGTGACTGCAGGTGCTCTCGAGAGAACAATTGCACCTGCGATCTATTATTCGACAAGCGGCACATTATAAACTGATGCATGATTCGATAAAAGAAATAAAATTAATTTGTTACAAGCAATTTTTCAAAGAAATAAACGGTAATTAAAGAAATCAGATGAATGTAGGGCATGAGAAAAGAGAAATGAAATCACCTCCATGATTGTTGAAGGAGCTCGGTGTCGACTCGAGGGCTGAGATGCTCGTGTGGGAGAGACCAAGGGTCAATCCGAAAAACACAGTACTAGCCACCAGTAGCATTTTCCTTATCTCCTGTTTCCAGGATACTCCGATTATCAATTCTTCAACCGACAGCACTTGACTTATCACTCGCAAGAACTCGCTTTTTAAAAGAGCATCGCCGTCTACTGCACGACTCGCTTGCGACACCACGCACAATCGCGAAGTCAATATTTGAGCAGAATATCGATTCGCCAGAAAAAGTAGTGTCGATTCTCGTCGCTAGTTGGCGCGCGAGTACAACGTTTGGAGATCGAGTACAAACACGGATGAACTGTTCCACGAAAATTTAAGATTCGAGAATTTTGTACGATTCAAAGATTTTACATATAGATTTTACAAGGGTATAATAAGCTCCTTAGATCTTTCCTTTCATTACTTTGAATGAAATAGTAGAAAAAACAAGTTCGTCGAGCAAGAATTGAAAGGGCCAAAATATAGAATCTAATGATTCAACAGTTCGATGCACTTCACCTTTGCTTTATTTCCGTTAGAGGCGCTTGTATGCACTGCCACCATTTTCTATAGAAATATTTATTTTACAAGATGCCAATGGTGGGTTATGGTTTTATTAGTACATAACACATAAAAAATTATGCATATAAAAATACTGTTTTTGCAAATATATTTTTGATTCCTTCAATGTGATGAAAAATATTTCATTTTGGTAGATATTCATTACATTTCACTAATAGTACTGTGTTTTTTATACTTATAAATTTGTAAAACAATCTCAATCCTACGAAAAATTTTGTATATAATAACATTTCATTAACATTCGTTTTATGTAGTAAAGACCTCGAAATTTAGCACTACATTTTACTAAAGTATACTCCCCAATATACAGTTTATAAAAATATGTAATGTCCATAAAAGGGATTTAGAGAAATTTTAATTGTCATGTTGGATACCTGAATTAAGTAACTAGATTTAGATGAAAAAATATATTACAGATGAGTTTAGCTTATCTCAAGGACTACCGGAGTTTATAATATGCCCAGGCAGTAACGGGAAATGCCATATTCACACAAGATCTTGTTATACTTCTTTAACAGTGAATTACTACATTTTAATGCGTAGTTACGTTCAGTTTTGTTCAATTGTAAAATAATATATTATCTCGTACAAATACTGTTAGGAAATTAGTGAAATATATACTTTGTTGGATAATTAAAAAATAACTATAAACACTTCAGTTATATTAAAATTGAATAATAATATGTAATAATTCATATAATGATTTAATTGCTGTAGTATTTTAATAAATTATTCAATTATACTATTGTAATTTTTGTTGTACATAGGAAAATTTATACCTACAATAGATAAAATGTCCACTGAAGATCCTGATTGGGTAAATATAAATTATTACATATATACAATATTTGAAATAATTTTTATCTAAAAACGTAAGTTGTTTGAGTACTTTTATTTACACATAAATCATTTACAGTATTTTTGAATTTTGTGTAGGATACAATGCTACAAATTGCTAAGTTACAACAACAGCAATATTACGAATATTTTGCTGATTGGACAAAGTATAAGAAACATGAATATAAGTATTTAAAACAAAATATTGGTTTTGCACTGTTTGGTACTCCAGCAGAAGATAAAAATGCTGATGTTACTTTGAATGATGAAAATAAAATAAATAATGAACAAGATATCATTGATAGTGTTTATTATTCATCTAATGCAAACAAAATGATAGAAGGTGTATATGAGAAAATATATAAATTTGGAGAGGGGCGCATAGAACAAGGAACAATTTATTATGGACTAATTTACAACATAACATTTCGTACTAAAAAAAGTGGGAAGGAAAAAACTAAAACTAATTCGAAAGAAAAAGAGAAAATAAATGTGTTATCAACACCAGTTTTTAAGATAAATTGTGGGCAATTTAAAATATGTTATATTGATAATTTTGGTAGATTGTATGATACTTGGGACGATTATAAAATAAACAATACTTTACCAAAGTGTAAAATGGTTCTTCCAAAAGATGGATTTTATCAACCTGATAAAGGATATGAAATTACAAAAGACACTTCAACAGTATGGTTGGAAATTTTAGATTCACCTGCATGTAGTGATGTATCTGATGTTTGTAATGCTTTAGATACAATTTCTAATATAACTGGTGCACTTGGAGTTGGTTTGACTGCTGCATCTTTCTTCACACCTATTGTCCCAATTGCAGCAGGTAAATTATATACAGTTATATTTGTAGTATTGTATACAATACCGAAAATTTATAACAATAATATTTATAATACTTTATTGTTCTGTTTCTAATTGTTGATATTCTAAGATCTTATAAGAATGATTATAAGTACAATACTTATTATAATAATATTGTTGCGATTGTAGGTGCAACACTATGTAGTGGTATAAGTGGTCTATGGACAGTTGGCAGATCAACACAGAAATTAAAAGATAGATGGTCTCATAAGGAAAGTATAAGTATAACAAATAGGAGCGCATTTTGTGCATGGTTAAGTATAACTGGCTGTGCAACTGGTTTAATTGCAGCTAGTGGAAATATAGTTCTTAATAATTTTATTAGAAATGGTAGTAAAATAGGCAATGTGACTAAATTTTCATATAATACATTACTAATAAGTAACTTAACTGTTAGTGGTATTAGTACGGGATATCAGGGATATTGTGTATATGAAAAATATGTGACTGAGGAATCAGTTCCTCTTTTAGATATAGCAATTCTAACAACACATATTTTGTTCTTTAGTCATACAGTTTTAAAAACTCAGTTTGCAGGAGAACTCATTAAATCAAAGCAAGGCAAAATTTTAGATGATTATAGAGCAAGCTTACGTTCTAAAAATCTTAGAAAGAAGTTTAATCGTATGATACGTAAAGCGGCTAAAAATAATGATGATACAATATCTAAAAATGCTGAAGTTATACGTTATATCAGCAATAAGGAGCATTTACAGCTTAATGATAATTTAAACATTCACACACAAAAGAGGAATACGTTATTGTTTAAAGGTGGAAAAATGGTAATTTGTGATATTCCTTTGATGGATCCTTTCATATTTGTGGAAACATTAATTGAGCTCGATAGGAATCCGGAGAAACAAGATTCAGAACTATATTCTGTATTCTCAAATAGTCAAGAAGATAATGATAGGGAAAACGTATTTTGTCAGTTACAAAATTTGTTGTTACATTTGTTAAAGAATGCATCTTTAGATCATAACGAAATGGAATTTGATATTACTAAATTTGCAAACATTTTACATGATGTAAAGTATATGGAGAATGCTATATTTCTTTTTAAGCTACTATTTATAATATCTTTTCACTTAATGAACGGTTCCTCTTCTTTGATACTACTTTTAGCAATTAAATTTATATGGACTTATGTCAAAGAAAGTGTGAAACAGTGTTGTTTAAAGAGTATTACTATGAAGGATGAAGAAAAACAAGCAAAAGTACATGATATAATAATTGGGATATTTGATAATATGGATGAGTTACTCCAAAAATTATCACCTGCTTTCAAAAAATACATATTACAGTGTCAATTTATATAACAATTAAATTTTACAAGGTTAAATATATTTATATACACAATATAGTTATAAGTGTTATGTAAAAATTTTATATATTTCTATATACTTTTTAATAAATATAAAATTTAATTTCAAGTGGTATAAAATTAGAAGGTTCACTTAATATAAGCTGTTTTTTGTTTTTTATACAAAAAGTTTTAGTTTAGGACAAAGGAAATTGGCAATATTAATTACACTTAACTTTGCTTTGTTTTTGAAATTCTTGATAATAATAGCCAATTCAAGTCGAATATAAAGTGTAAATAATATTTAGTATTACCTTTCCTTCCCCCATTTAAATTATTATTTGAATAAATATCGAAATTCTACATAATGTATTTCTCAAACATTTTTCATTATTCTTAAAGTATAGATGTTATTAAATATTTATAAATACTATTAAAACGGTATACTAAAATCAATAAAGGTACGAATAAAGATTTAATATATGGTAAAATTATGGAAAATTTCCATTTTGATGGGTTTGAAATGTGCTGTAAAGAGATTGTCACTAATAGATTGAAGTTTGCTCATCCGTGTGAATTCGTAAGGTGAACATGAAACTAAACTGCGTATCAACGGAACAAGTTGCACGTAACATTCATATCTACTTGTCGACAAATTTCTCGTACCAACTACACCTCGAAGCATTAATTTTGAAACCATTAGCTACCGAAAAATTTGAGAAAATAATCGATGAGAATATGGTTAGAGCATTTCTCCTGTCATAGCCGAGCGATGGATCGCTAACATATCAATACCAATATATTAGGACTCTGTTTCATTTGATATATGAAATTATGTACATACATACTTAAAATGTGAATATATAATATGAATATTTTTTAATACTATTTTTCTTATACCGTTAAATGTTAACAAAATCATTAATAGTAGAAAATATACAAATGTAGAAATACAGAACAAAAGAGTTATAAATGCACTAAGAAGAATTTTATAGTAGATATTATATAAGAAAACATCTACGAGATTTTGTCATAAAAAGACTCAAGATTCAATGGGTTGAAAATGCATAAGCAAATGACGCGCAAGAAAATGGAAACGACACCGTTCGACTCCGTCCATCGGCTGCGAACGAGTTCGAATCTTGCAGTATTTGAGTTTGATGCATTTTCACGAACAGACTCTCTGTCTCCAAATCATTTTCAGAATTGGTGCTTTAAGTGGTGCTTGCACAGAGGGCACTATAATCAATTTCATATTTTCAAGTCGGTAAGGCAGTCAAGGTTGGGCTGTGAAAGTTTGTATAACGTGATGTAATGATAATTGTTGTTACCTACAGAAGATAAAAAAAACTTACTATATCACTTTACGCTTCATAGATGGCCTTATAAGTGTATTCACATAATTTTGATGAGGAAATTATATTATAATAAATATATTAAATAATTTGTTCTCCTTTCCTTATAATTTTTGATGGCATAATGACTAATGTTATTTAATCTGCATTGGTACACATCGATTAAATTCTATTTCAGTTTGGTAAACCTAGTAAGGAATGTAATTGTATGTATTAAAATATAAACAAAATAAAACAATCTGATTTGACGATTTAATAACAAAATTTGAAATGGAAGAAATCACGTAATAGAAATATAAAATCGCGATTGAATCATTTATATTTGAACATAATAAACTAACGAATTCTTGTGAATATATAAATATGAAATTGCTGATGAAATTCATAAACTTAATTTAAAAATGAATAATTTGTGCACTGTATTTCTTATACTCATTTTTCATGTATTCCAACATATTCTAAAAATTTCTAAAAGTATGTTTTGGTTACAGTATTGAATCATTTAATAATTAAAATACATATTAGATTACTAAAGAATGTTTTCATACAAATGTTTTGTGATCTCTTGCTTTAATTTTCGATCAAACTTATTAACAATTGCAGAGTTTGTACATTCCGTACACGAGCCATATCGGTAAAGTCACGATTAGAAATTATCATTCTACACTTGCAAATCTCAAACTTTTCCTGACATTGTTAACTCGTCGGTACAGTAGGTAAGTTATAAAAATTCAAGTCATTGGATATAGCTAGAATATTTTCATCTGACTAAGGTATTTTCGATTAAGACGGATACTTGCGATGATATTGAAGAGATGGTGCATAGAACTGTGCAATTTCGTTCACATTTATATCATGCTCACGACTTATCTTTCGAGAAGAGCTCTTATCTTGGCGTGTATTTTTAATGCGTGTTTTCTAATATACGTGGCGCGCGATTAATTACAAGTACTGCCACCTATATTCTCGCGACATGACGTGTCACAGGAATAAGGCCAAGTATCTATTTCGAGCCGTCGGCTGACAAAATAGTAGCCTGACTAAGGAAACCGACGGAAGATTCTCGTGGCTGGATAGCAAATGGATAGCACGGTCGACTGCAACTGCTCGCATCAATTTCAAATAAGGTCCTTAAAGCTTGATCGAGTTTCTGGAACGGTAGCCTGTTTGCCTGTGCACGACCTCTCTGCGCAGCGTTCCAGTTTTCCATCGAGAGTAGTCGTTAATCTGTTCCCTAAGCTTTACCCTTTTTGAATGTTAATTATTGTTCTCACAGGGATCGCAGTCTTCCCGTGGAGTTCAGCGAATCTGCGTACATCCGCAAGGTGGCGGTACTGTGTGACGATAAATGGTTGTTAACTTTAAATGTACGTGCGTACAAAGTACTTAAAAGATATGAATTATACTGTTTGCCACTGCTGTCGTTTTAATACACAACTTTATATTTAAGAAAGTTGGAGAAAAAGTTGAAAATTAAAAAGGGAAAAGGAAGAAAGTAGCTTGACAATACCCAAAATTGGATTTTTGAAATGTCCAAAAGTGAAACGATGAATGATGCACCACCTTTAAAGCAGTCTGACTCGTTTGAAACTTCAAGACGCGTTGCTTTCTCCTTTTCCACTTGTTCGACCCTTCGCTGCCTGTACAAGGGGCTACCTTTTGCAGGACGAAGAGCGTATCCGAAAAATAAAAGCGTCTGAATCTCGTGGTCGTGGGCGACCCTTACGCGTGAATGCCAAGAGAAAGGGCACGCACCATGCGTGGAATAAAGTGGACCACATTGTTGGCGGAAATTGCCTTTGCAATCTTCAGGAGGCTACTTCCATTCGGTCGCCACTTACATGAACCTGCATCTTGTCTGAACGGAAGCTAAACGTAGGAAAAAAGAAGACGGAGCCATGCTTGGCTACCCTTAACATAGGACGATACCCTCTAAGGGACAGACTGTTATCAGGAAAGGTCTCTTGTTCAGCCTAGATCCAGAACTTTAGAAACGGATGAGACACAATTCCGACAAAACTGTTTAACCTCGGTAATAGAACATGCAACGAGATTTTTGCAACAGGCCTACGATTTTATTGATTAATGGAGACAATGGTTGTCACTGCGATACGACGTTCCAGGCAGTGTCGGGATGTGGAGTGCTAACTTGTTGTCACTGAATTTCTAATCACGTGACGAGTCGTGGAAGTGGAGATTATTTACTCTTGCTACTTTTGGAGTAGTCATTCTAAGCATGTATTTACTTGTCACGTGATAACGTCATGACTTAGCAGTCGATATTAGCAATTCTGATCCCAACATTAGTTCCAAGGTTGCCAGGTTCAATGCTACCCTCTAAGTCAGCTTTTATGTCATTTCATTGGCTAGAACAGGAGTTGTAGAAGGAGATCACCATGTTTGGTACGGATCACGTTGTTTAGAAACTGAATGCGATATCACAGGACTGATTCTTCATTATGCTTGATTAAATTCAATCAAGTTTGGGAGTCAGCAGTTGAATTTTCGTAAGTAATATAACTTCTTTCCTAGGAATCAACCCGAGTATTGGTAAATAAAGGAGGAGAAAAGCTATAGTGAAAGGCAGTGAGATAGATACTGCACGACAAATCTGGAAGAGTGACTATGAATAAAGTTATTGATAAGGTATCAATAATCCGAATACAAACGACCGAGATAGATTGCAATTACATTATTTAAAATATATTCATTTTTATCTGAACTATTTAACAAAATTTATATATATTTCGTAAATTATATCTAATTGATATAGTGACAACGTATCAATGATTTATCGATTATTGATAGTGGTATCTCTAGTGTGGATGACTGAAATATTTCGCTGACCACTGGTCTGACGTCAAACCTATCAAATATCAAAGTTGACGAACTTAGGTTGATAGTGACCTGGATCTTGGTGGTTGCCTGAGTGGTTTGAATTAGGTTTGCGTTAAACACATGCACGTTACATCTTCGACCATTTAACCGAGACACTATCTAACTGATCATACAAATGATCTGTGAATGAAAATATTAAATAAGAGGAAATTTTTTAAATTTATTTAAAATTATACGTATACTCGCTGAAGAGTTGCAAAGTCAAGTGTCTAAGACGATAATCTTGAGTACCTCAAGGAATTTGAACAAAAAATTTTAATCTAGGCCGTGGTAGGTTTAGTGCTATGAATTATAAACTACACATATAAGAATTAACCTCGGCGATGAAACGATATTCTCAACCATCTCGTTTCATTTTCAATTCGACAGATCAATTCGAAATGAAACGTTTAATTTCTAGGAGTTATCAGCTCAAGCGAACGATGGTGCCAAACAAATTTTTAATATCCATATTGGATATTGGAAATGTTCTGCATTGAAATACGTTATACTTTCGGTCGATTAAAAATCGAAATTCCACTCTTATCCGTGGCCATTGAAAGAAACGAAAGAAATGGATTTTCTCGTGCACAGAGCGTGTTCGTGTGCGAGCTTCCCTTATGTGAGCGACAAACGACGACCATGCTTGATGACTGTAGAGGCTCCTCTGCTGTATCATAAAGCCTCCCTTCCATGCCATCTTTCTAGAACGCTTTCATATCTACGATTTCAGATTACAGCGTGCAGGTAAAGTACTTTTTTCTTCGCTACGATCGTTCCTTCA